CACACACACACACACACTAACATTCAGATTCGTTCATTTGTTTGCCAGTTACTTTAAAGACACACAGTTGAAGTCAGAATTATTTGCCCTCTTGTGAATCTTTGTCATATATCTCCCAGATGATGTTGAACAGATTCAGGAGTTTCTCACAGTGTTTCCTCTAATATTTGTTCTGCTGGAGAAAGTCTTAATTGTTTTATTTTGGCTAGAATAAAAGCAGTTCTTAATTGTTTTAAAGCCATGTTAAGGTCAATATTATTCACCCCTTCAGCAATATTAGTGTTGGATTGTCTCCAGAACAAACCACTGTTATACAATGACTTGCCTAATTACCCTAACTTTACCTTAATTACCCTAGTGAAGCCTTTAAAGGGTCACGAAACACCAAAACACATGTGTTGAGCTGTTGACAGTCGTATATGTGTCCCACACTGCTGTAAACACTATTAGGACACCTATATTTCACTGGAAAGTGTAAATTGGTTGTTTTTGCGTTATTTCAAGCAAATTCGTACTTCCGGTTTGAAACGAATTTTTGAAGCTGCGTCACGGTCATGACATAATAGCGTGTATTCCAGCGTGCAGACTGGACGTCTGTGCCAGAGTGTGTCTTATTACGTCTCACAGTGTGCTGCCTTAATGCATGATTAAGGCTTGGTACAAACCAATCAGTGCGCTCTATTGTGCAACTTCATTAATATTCATTACTGTCACAGTGTTTAGACGACAGAGACGCCACGTTGTGTTGGCAAAACAAGCGTGAAGTGTTGCTTTTATAGTTTGCTGCAGTTCAGTTTTGTTTTCATTTTCTCTCTGTGAGAGCGCAGCTGGAGTCACGTGTGGATTAACAGTGTACGCGACGCTCGACAACAATAACTTACGTGTCTAAGGAGGATTATTGTTTACCTGAGAGCTGTTCTCATCTGCAAACGCTGAGATCCGGATTCGCTTGTAATGTTAGTCTCCTCTTAATAAAGACGCGGCTCTAGTTGCTGGTGATTGTTCTGTCTCTACAGATTTAGTAAGTGAGTGACCAGTGCTCTTTGTTTATTCAGTTTGTTCGTATCGAACTAACGTTAACTATTGCACCGAGTGTAAACATGTTAGCACCACAACCAAACTTTAACCTCGTGTAGGATTTTCACCGCATAGTGTGACCGAAATAACACACGCGACTTTCTGAAGCTACCTGCCGTGTGCATCTAAGTTTCCGGGAAATGCGGAGGGTTTTTTTCTCTCATTCGCCGTGCGGTATCAAACATTGCATGAAAAATACACGCTTAGAGCAGCTCCTCGAATCAAATAATCAAATATCTCGTTTGTCGCGAGGGACATGAATGAATTCCCTGAATGAAAGAGCCAAACTGCAGTTAAAGTCCACCATTTAATAATTTGGCAAATAATTCGACTTCAGATGTCCATGTAAACACAGTCCCTTTCTCCCCTGTGTGTGTGTGTGTGTTTTGACTCTGAAACTCAGCGCGCCCAAATAGACACTCCCACACTAAGCCTCTTTTCTTTCTCCGACACTCCCCCCTAAACAGAGCTGGACACGCCCACTTTTCTGACTTTTTCCAAAGTAGAGGTGTGAAAACACCCTGCTGAAACGAGGGGGTTTCATGGCCCTTTAAATGTCACTTTAAGTTGAACACTAGTGTCTTGAAGAATATCTAGTCTAATATTATGTGCTGTCATCATGGCAAAGAGAAAACAAATCTAGCTATTCCTATATCTAAAAACTGCCCTCAACTACAGTGATTTGAGCATGTGTAAATCATTATCGTACACCACCGAACGGGGGTCAGATTTGAGAGCACGAAGCCTGCAAATAAAAGTGTTTAGTCCAGTCTGGCATGTGGAATTCCTCTAAATGAGACATTCAGCTAAACGCACCCAAATGTAAACGTTACAATATTAAACATGTTTATCACCGCAGAGCCAGGCTGTACAGCGAGAGGATCTTGGATCAGGGATGGCTGAATTCTTTGGCTGATGTTTAATGATGGTTTAGGCTCAGATAAATTCAGCACAATCAGTCAGGACGCTTTCTTCCTCGCATGTTCTTCATGTAGCTTCTTGTCCAGATGATTTAGAGTGTTATTATCATCTTCTTTTAAAAGTGAATGTAATCGTGTTTAATGTTGTTTTCATCAGCTTTAATTTCTCATATTTTCCTGATATGAAAATCAGTGTATTTCTGCTCTTTGTTGTTTTTGTTGTTCATTAGTTGCTAAAGCGAGTTTCCTTATCAGTGCTCCATTATCCATAATTATTCTATCTTCATTGCGTGACTCATCTTTCATTATTTGTGCTGTGAATATGATCCCAGGATCATGCAGCAGGCTGCTTTTCTTAGAGATTACACTTTTTGTTTTACACCCAAAAAAAAAAAAAAAAACATGCATATGCACTATATATACACACTGGCCACTTTATAAGGTACATCTTACTATTACCGGGTTGAATCCATTTTGACTTCAGAACGGCCTTAATCCTTTGTGGTGTAGATCCAGCAAGCTACTGGAAATATTCCTCAGAGATTTTGCTCCATATTGTCATGATAGCATCACACAGTTGCTGCAGATTTGTCAGCTGCACATCCATGATGCCAATCTCCCGTTCCACCACATCCCAAAGCTGCTCTATTGGATTGAGCTCTGGTGACTGTGGAGGCCATTTGAGTACAGTGAACTCATCGTCATGTTCAAGAAACCAGTCTGAGATGATTGAGCTTTATGACATGCTGCGTTATCCTGCTGGAAGTAGCCATCAGAAGATGGAGACACTGTGCTCATAAAGGGATGGACATGGTCAGCAGCAATACTCAGGTAGGCTGTGGCGTTGATGCTCAATTGGTACTAATGGACCCAAAGAAAATCTCCCCCACACCATTACACCACCACTAACTGTTAATATAAGGCAGGATGGATCCATGCTTTCATGTTGTTGAACCAAATTCTGCCCCGAGCATCTGAATGTGTCAGCAGAAATGGAGACTCATCAGAGCAGCAACGTTTCTCCAATCTTCTATTGTCCAGTTTTGGTGAGTCTGTGTGAATTGTAGCCTCAGTTTCCTGTTCTTAGCTGACAGGAGCGGCACCCGGTGTGCTCTTCTGCTGCTGTAGCCCATCCGCCTCAAGGTTGGACGTGTTGTGTGTTCAGAGATGCTCTTCTGCAGAGCTCGGTTGTAACGAGTGCTTATTTGAGTTACTGTTTCCTTTCTATCAGCTGGAACCAGTCTGGCCATTCTCCTCTGACCTCTGGCATTAACAAGGCATTTGCGCCCACAGAACTGCCGCTCACTGGATATTTCCTAAAGTGACTGGTGAGAGTATATGGCAACGGTAACACTTTAGTACAAGAGACCAATTCTCACTATTAATTGCTTGCCTGTTATTAATATGTTGGATATTTATTAGCACTTATAAAGCACATATTTAGCATGATTGTGTTTTACATCTACAGAATGTCAAAATTATAGCTAATATATTTGAACATATAAACATATAAAATTGAACCATTATTTATATTTTTCCCACATTTCTAAGATTTATTTTTAGCACATTTCTAATCATAATAGTTTTAATAACTCATCTCTTATAACTGATTTATTTTCTCTGTGTCATGATGACAGCACATAATATTAGACTAGATATTCTTCAAGACACTAGTGTTCAGCTTAAAGTGACATGTAAAGGCTTCACTAGGGTAATCAGGGTAAAGTTAGGGTAATTAGGCAAGTCATTGTATAACAGTGGTTTATTATGGAGACAATCCAACACTAATATTGCTGAAGGGGGCGAATAAAATGGCTTTAAAACTATTAAAAACTGCTTTTATTCTAGCTGAAATAAAACAAATAAGACTTTCTCCAGATGAACACATATTAGGGGAAATACTGTGTACAATTCCTGAATCTGTTCAATATGATGTGGGAAATATTTGACAAAGAAAAAGCATTCACAGGAGGGCAAATAATTCTGACGATATATATATATATATATATATATATATATATATATATACAAGCTAATGACCGAGGAAAAAATGAGTGCCATGGCCAAACCAGTTGAGAAACATTGCTTCACAGGCTAATAACACAGATGTAAAAACACACACACACTCAGCCTGTTACCTGAACACACACAGCACTGTAAGAGCAATGCTGAGTGACACAAGAGAGACGGCGTATCCTGCTGAATACATGATCTTCACATAGAAGAAGTACTCGTCTGAGACCAGCACCTGACACAGCACAAAGATGGGCACATTATTGCATATAAGAACAACATCTTTGTGTATTTATTTTGTGTCCCTAAATAAAAATGAGCTGCAAGTTTCAAGTTTATTTTTGTTCTTTTTATTGCACATGTAGAAGCATGTTGTGGAGTTATGAAAATGCCAAACAGGATCATCCCTGACTCCCTCAGGTCTCTATGAAAGTCTGTAGACTGACTTCCAAGTGAAAGACTTAGGATATGGCAAAATGATGTGGCTTTTACACTCCCGCAGAAAAAAGCAAATGCATGTGAACTTGAGACTGAAGGAAGCACTGACTGAAATTCTCATAGAAAGATTCGGATTACTGACTTGAAACTCAATTTGGACTGAAAATGTCTATTTGGATTGTAAAATTAAAAGTCTGATTTTAATTTATATTGAGAAGCTAACCCTTATAGGGATTAAATATCTCAAGCCTGACTATAAAGGGCACCTAGGTTACCCCTTTATTTAGATTTAATATAAGTCTTTTGCGTCTCTAGAATGTGTATATAAAGTTTCAGCTCAAAACACCCATCAGATTGTTCATTATACCTTTTACAAGATGCTGTTTATTACTGATTTCCAGCAGGGGGTGGTTTTGACGTACTGCGCCTTTAAGACGACAAAGGCGCCTACTGTTTCTACGTGCCTTCCCGCGTGCTTTAATCTCCTCCCTCAGCTGCGTCAGACAACAGACAAACTTAAAGGAAGAAGGTCTCGCGTAGCGTTTGTGAAAAATACTACAGTAAGAACTCATCTTTACTAATCAGTATTGTGAAGTTGCATTGATGAGTCACACTCAATATCGTAACAAAGTTCAAGCGCGAGCACACACGCACACACACACACACACACACACACACAGAGATACACACGCACACCGCAGCTGACACACACACACACACACACAGGCAGGCAGACAGACAGAGCGCAGTGTGCTTAGCACTGTTTTGCACTCAAATATGTCAGGATACAGGCTAACCTCCAGTGCTGTGTGGATATCTGTGATGCTAATGTACAAAATAAACCTGATTTAACTTCCACAAACCGGGATTGAAGCGTCTACTTTATAATTGTTCTGACACGCGGCTGTGCTGATGAAGTAAAGCTGGGGTAAATCGCTGTAATTCTTTACACACGTGCCCTGTTTTAAAACACTTAAAACATGTGAAACTTACTCTTAATCACATTTGATGATGATTGCTGATCCGTGCGAACAGAACAGAGCTTTTATTCCCGGTTGCTTTGCGTATGTCTGCCTGGTCTTGTTGACATATACACGTGACTACCGGAACATGTTAATGCGCGCAGCTGTCAATCAATTCGGTGGGCGGGGGGATCGCACTCCTACGTAAAGTTGCGGTCGGTCTGAAAACCGCTCTAATTGGTCCACCGTTTTTATGTTGTTCAATTAAAATAAAAGGACTGTGTGTGTTTATATCAGCCCAATATGATGGTCTATACACTTTATATACACACATGTCTGTCCAAATAGCTTGAAAAGTAGATTTTTCACCATAGGTGCCCTTTAAATGAACACTTCTCAAAAACTTCAGCATCAGCTCAGCCAAAAGGAGTTGTGCAAATTTTGTGCAGCCCTACCATGTTTAATGATGTGACATCCTTTTAATTATTATACCCTTTATTTGTTGATTTTCTAAAATTAATTCCCCTGATAAACAAGGGACTTAGCTGAAGGAAAATGAATGAATGAATGATGTTTGAGGTACCGAGTCGCTGGGAAAGTGAAAGCTGTCATTGAGTCCGTGTCCACAGGCGAGTTCATACGGAGGGAAGGTTACAGACCAGCCGTTCTCAGTGCAGTTCTTCATCACAGCTCCTGCAGAGACAACACACAGGACAAACAACACAATCATAAGCTATGCTTCCACCCAAAGATGCCAATTAGACTTCAGACTAGACTAAAATTAGACGGGAATATCACATAAAACATTAGTGAATGAAGCAGCGTTTACATTCAATTAGTCAAAGACAACAAAATCATCACTTCCGGATAAACTTGCTCAAATATTGCTCAGAGAAGTGTCGTTTAGTGTGTTGGGATTTGCCACTGTGGTCTTTCTTCACCTCTAATAAAGCAGTAGCGCATCAGAAGACGAAAAGCAATGGACACGATGCGGTGGCTTTTGGAGGTGTGAGAAGCTCATAGCAGTATTATAAATGTAGCTATAACATTATAATATAAGGATATAGATAGATAGACAGACAGACAGACAGAAAGGCAGGCAGGCAGGCAGACAAGTAGGTAGGTAGGTAGACAGACAGACAGACATATAGATGGACGGACAGACGGACAGACAGTCAGACAGACAGACAGACAGTCAGACAGACAGACAGACAGACAGGCATACAGACATATAGATGGACGGAGGGACGGACAGACAGACAGACAGACAGACAGGTAGGCAGGCAGGCAGACAGGTAGGTAGGTAGGTAGGTAGGCAGACTGACAGACAGACATATAGATGGACGGACGGACGGACGGACAGACAGACAGACAGACAGACAGATAGATATTCAACTGGTTCATCTGACCTTTGACCCGCAGGAAACTGGGGCAGGGCTGTGAAACGGTCTCTCCAGCTTCTGCATGAGGCCAACAGTTCAGATCGTCCCATAATGCACTGCAGCCTGTTTGGAGGAGATGAAGGACAATAAGGAGCAAATCTGAAAAGCCAAAAGTCTTACATGCTCTACCCAAACACTAAAATCTGAAAATCCAGTGCATCTTTTGGATAAGTAATTGAAAATGGCATTTTGTCTTTATAAATTAAAATAATTAAAGCAAACATAAAGAAGACCTATTCTGCCTCTTTTCAAGATGTGAAATGCGTCTCTGATGTCTCTAGAGTGAATAATTCTTCTTCTAGCAGAATAATGAGCAAAGACCACGTCCACTTCTGGAGAGTGGGCAAGGAGTAAAAGCTCATTTGCATTTGAAGGGACACACAAAAAATGTGTGCTTTCGCTCACAACCAAATGGGGCAAATCTGAAAAGCTATATTAAATCATCTGGAGGGTTTGTCCAGCTGAAACTTCACAGACACATTGTGGGCGCACTGGAGATTTATAATACAGCTTGTGAAAAGCGGTGTAACAGATCGCCTTTAAATTACCAGCAGGTACTGTCTAAACGTATGTCTTAATGTCTATAAACAGAGCCTTCTGTATTTTACTACAAATACTATAGTAATTTATAGTATTATAGTACACGACAACGTATTAGCAATATGACTACAACATTCCAACGTCAAGCTTTTAAAACTGCTTTTAACTTGCAGGCAATATAAAAGCTTGCCTTGAAAACCAAACATGTTTATTAAGTAATATTTAAAAGCATTTAAAGTCAGCTGTACACATTTCGTACAGTACCAGCTAATAAGACCAAGTCCTGGCCTGTGTTGAAAAGTTCACTGGCAGTAGGTTGAAGATACAATGGGTCGGTCAGTAAAAACACCACATTCTATTCACAGATTTGGCCAGAGCAATGCATTTCTAAGAGGACAAATCTCAATCACACCACACAGCTGTAGACAACTGGGCTGCTGAACCTAAGTCTGCTTTTTTAGTGGAATACTCCTGCTACAATATATAAAAAAGTATTTTATAATAAATACTAGAGTGTTTTTGAGCCATACTACAGGAAAGTATTTCAATTAATCTGTTGTGGTGATTCTGCTGTTGCTATGGTTGCACAACAACTATAGTAATTTATCTGTTGTTGTGATTCTACAGTTGCTATAGTAAAACAACAACAATTAGTCTGTTGTGGTGATTCTACAGTTGCTATGGTAACACAACAACTACAGTAATTAATTTGTTGTGGTGATTCTACAGTTGCTATGGCAACACAACAACTACAGTAATTAGTCTTTTGTGGTGATTCTACAGTTTCTATGGTAACACAACAACTACAGTAATTAGTCTTTTGTGGTGATTCTACAGTTTCTATGGTAACACAACAACTACAGTAATTAGTCTGTTGTGGTGATTCTACAGTTTCTATGGCAACACAAAAACTACAGTAATTGATCTGTTGTGGTGATTCTACAGTTGCTATGGCAACACAAAAACTAACAGTAATTAATCTGCTGTGGCGATTCTACAGTTGCTATGGCAACACAACAACTATTGTCATTATTCTGTTGTGGCGATTCTACAGTTGCTATGGTAACACAACAACTACAGTAATTAGTCTGTTGTGGTGATTCTACCGTTGCTATGGTAACACAACAACTATTGTCATTAATTTGTTGTGGTGATTCTACAGTTGCTATGGTAACAACCACTATAGTAATTAATCTGTTTTAGAGATTCTACATTTGCTATTGTAACAACAACTATAGTAATATAAACAAATGTAACAACTATAGGGTATATTATATTACAATACACCACAGTTTACTGTAGTAAAAACCAAAACGTATACTACAATATTTATTTTCGTTTATAAGATTACTGTAATACTACAGTATGCTGGAACATGCATTAACAAGGAGTTGTAAATACTGCAATATATAGAGTATAATATTATTTGCTATACTGCCCTGCAAAAGCAAGAGACCTTAACTTGCTAGAGTGTGTAATTGTAGAGTGACAATAACGATTTAATAATAAATAATTTAGACATTTTGATGTCAAATTAATTATAGTTAGGAGAACAGAAATCTGCCTATTAAAGAAAAGCAACCAAAATGGCTCAAAATACATATAAACGTGATAAATATTTTGCCTTTGCACAGCAGTTTATAATAATGGTTCAAAAACATTATAATATTTACTATTAATAGCTGACTCACAGTGACTAAAACACACACGAAACATTGAAACTCTCCGATTTCTGAATATATATTTTTCCACTGAGGCCAACACAGTGACATGTATATGTTATCAATTTAAATTGTGCAATTGTACAATACATGAATAAGTATATAATACATAAAAACTAGATATGTAAAATAATTAAACAACTGTATGAATACTCTATGCAAAAATAATACAAATAAATAATATTTAATAAATAATGTAAATGATTACGCATGTATTAAATAATATATTTAAAATACTCTAGAAATTAATAATAAAAATAAATGACTAAATTCATTAACAAAATAATAGTGATAATAATAACCTTAAATTATCTTGCTTTGGTTTTGTACTCTCTCTCTCTCTCTCTCTCTCTCTCTCTCTGTCTGAGGAGATCTGTACAGCATTATACTGCTATTGTGATTGGCTGTGTTGACAGGCCTGTATTGACTGTTTCCTGTGTACATAAAGGACGAGCGGTATTTTGAGAATCTCAGGCGCTGTTCACACTGACAGCTTTATTACTGGAGGCCCGAGAGTGGAAAACAGACAGAGGAACTTCCAGAAACCAGGTTATGCAACACACCTGTGGACTACACAGGAGTGTAGTATTCACTCCTTCCCTCCAAATCTTTGAGATTGATTCCAGATTTTGATTTCAAATCTTTAAGGATTTTCTTTTTGTTATTGTTGAACAAAAAAGAAGATATTCTGAAGAATACTGGAAACTTTTAGTAGGAAAAACAAATATGATAGAAGTCGACGGTTACCGATATCCAACATTTTTCAAAAGATCTTCTTTTGTTTTAATAGAAGAAAGAAACTCAAACAGGTTTGGAGCAAGTGAAGGATGAGTAAATGGTGGCAGAATTTAAATTTTTGGCGGATTTGTGTCTTTAAAATGACAATAATACCACTTATCACAATATTTTAATTACAATATATTGCACAACAGGCGGTTCATTCCGCAGTGGCGACCCCGGATTAATAAAAGGACTAAGCCAACAAGAAAATGAATGAATGAATATTGCACAACAAACATTAGTTATCCTGGCAAACCTACACACACGTGGGGTCTTTGCACTTGACCACTTACAGGGTGCATTTCAAATGCTCAAGTGGGTGTGAGGACCACAAGAGTGAGCATTAACACACACTATAATACACAGTGCAGTGGCCAGAGATCTGAACGCTGGTGAAATAACACAGACCTCAGCGCATACTCTTAACACTGAAGTACATCCTTTACAACACCAGATTAAAAATAGGGTTACACATTTCAAGAGCTAAAAATGAGCACGGACAGCTTTTGGCTGCATGAGATAGGAAACGGCTGAAAATATGCATCGGACATATCAGCAGGTGTTGTGTTTTTCATCATGCGTAACGGACAGTGTTGCGTCAATTATCATTCAACAGGTCTCGCTCAATGCAGCAAGTGTAATTGTTTTAGGTCTTGACCACACAATATTAACTGTGTGTAATAAACAAAATATTATGTAATTCTAAGTGTGAGGAGACACAGTGGCTCAGAGGTTAGCACTGTGGCCTCACAGCAAGAAGGTCACTGGTTTGAGTCCCGGCTGGGTCAGTTGGTGTTTCTGTGTGGAGTTTACATGTTCTCCTCATGTTGGTTTCCTCCGGGTGCTCCGGTTTCCCCTACAGTCCAAACACATGCGCTATAGGGGAACTGATCAACTAAACTGGCCGTATTGTATGAGTGTGTTGAAGGAAACTAAGCCGAAGAAAAATGAATGAATGAATGAATGTTGTGGAGTTAATGCAAGCCTTTCTGCAATGATGAGTCACACACAATGTCATTACAAAGTTCACACGCGTGCACATGCACACACACGCATACATATGTTTAACTTTGGGATGTTTTGCACAGCAAATGTGACAGGATGCACGGGTAATATCCACTGCTATATGGACATCTGTTATGTTAATGTGCAAAATAAACCTGATTTAACATCCACAAACTTGGATTGAAGTGTCTTCTTTTATAATTGTACTGACACGAGGCTGTGGAGATGAATTTATTACAAACATGAACTGTTTTAGAAATGTTTGAAACTTATTCTTGAGCTGCAGATGATCACAGAGAGCTGAACAGATCTTTTAATCCCGGTTGCTTTGCGCACGTCTTGTCCATAGACTGTAAAAGATATGGACGTAGTATCTGTGACGTCACCCATAGGTGCTAAAAAGAAGCTACCAGCAGGGCCAGAGCAAGCTGAACTGCCGCAAAGGACTATCACGCCGCCCTCAACCAGTGTTGCCAGATGTAGCCGATTTGTGACGGTCGCGGAGAGTCTACAGCTAATCAATCTGGCAGATTCTGCAGTGCATTACAGCTCTAAAGAACAACCCAAGCTCATTCTAGAAACGTAGCCCCGCGGACGTTTCTGGAGACCGCGATTTACGTGGCTGGAGGTACGTAAGGCCGCGTTTAGTTTTTTTTCGAGCGAACGCTGCGGGGCGGTGTGGCGCCGCTCCGCCCCTTCTCTTCGCGCTTGCCGGCCGACGGCTCGCCTCTGAGTGGAGGACTCTCCCGATGCAACCAGTTTGTCCGCTTAGCTCACAGCGTTGCGTCGGCGGAGCGGAGGCCCCGGAGGAGGACGAGGAGGAGCCGGCCGCGGGGACGATGACCGGGATCGAGTCCGGGGAACAGCGGTTCCGGAAATCAGGTAAGGCGAAAAACGGAATCCGAAAAATAAGGGCGAGAACGCGGCGGGATCCGAAAACGCGGTCGAAATCAAAGACGAGGGCTTTTGCTTTTTTTTTTTTTCTGAACGGCTTTTGCGAACCGTCGCTCGGGTTTAGGGAAGGAGGAGGAGGAGGAGGAGGAGGAAGAGGAGGGCGGCCGATCCGGCGGCTTTTCGCGCAAGCGCGAACGGCGCGCGCTCCCGAGAGGGGCCCGAGACGCGAAAAAGCACGCACAGCAGCCTCTCGCGGATCAGCGAAAACAAAAACCGCTCGAATATGTACCTCCCGGGACGTAAATCGCGGTCCGCAGAAACGTCCGCGGGGCTACGTTTCCACAATGAGCCCGGGTTGCTAAAGAATATTATAAATGATAAATGATCCGAAATAAAACAAATACATGTATAGAGATGGTATATAAGTATATAATTTCACTCAGCTGGGAAATGGAGGCCAAGTGAATGGTTTGTGAGCACAATTAAGTGCACACAGCATGCTATAGTATCTGATAATCGTAGGAAATAATCCCAAAAGGCGACGGACTGTGTAAAGCCACATAAAACAACAGAAAAATATGATGTATATGCCAAGTTCAGCAGCTAATCAGCCGGAATCAGATGAGGTGAAGTGACGGTGATCAGCGAGACCGAGCTGTCACTCAAGTGGCCACGCCCTTAATTATGCAGACTTAATATAACCTAATATAAAGTAACAGGATGAGTTATAAAACAATTCACCCCCTCACAGCTGTCATGAAGGGTAATATTAGCTATATGACCCAAAATCGTTCTTTGTACCAGGCTGTAAACATCTTTTTTCTGCTGTAAAGGCCATTTTAAAAGTGGGCTCAATAGAAATCGGCTCTATTATGGAGCCAGGACTAGCGGAATTTTGGTGAATTGAAGTTTCATTTACTTCCGTATTTGCTTCACGAGGAAAAGCACGAGGCTGCCGCTTGGGATTGTCTTGTGAATATGTTTATACGGGTTACTATGGAGACATATTAGTACGCGCCTGTCAATCAATTCAGTGTGCAAGGAAACCCCACTCCTACGTCACATTGCGGTCGGCCTTGAAATTGCAGAGATTCAGATCCAATTTTTACGTCAGAAACTTATTGTGTTTCTATCACTTCAATATGACTGTGGACGTACTATACTCCACACAGTCCAGTCCAAACAGCTTACAACAACAGCTTTAAAACTGAACCACAGCATGAAGACTTATAAAGCACATAAGCAGACTTTACTGACTAAATCTGTTAACAGCAAAGTTTATGATGTGCATTTTTTATTATTGGATAAAAAGTGTGTTTATCCTACTCAAATTTTTTATCGTGTCATTTCCATTAAGCATTTTAATACGCAATACTCCAACATGCATTTAAAAATAGGTGCATGGAAACACAGCCGCTGCTTATTTATGTGCATGAACTTATCTCAACTTTAAGAAGTAGCTGGACACGTCCACATTGCACCAGTGCTGCAATCATAAATCATCAACTCTAATTGATTCTCATTGTCCTCCAAAGCACTATATGACTAAACAGAGCTTCAGATATGATAATACTCTCACCGAAACACACACACACACACTTACACTCACATTACAGTGTATCCTGAGTGCTGCCAGCATTAGAGCAGTAATTGTGTGTGTACTCACTGCGCCGGAGGGCGTTATATATCCATAATCCGATAAGGGTTGTGATTTATGGAATATGGATAATGGAGGCCGTTGTCTAAACTTCCCCCCTGATATCGCATTACACCTCTTAGGAACACACATAAACACTCATCACTGTGTTTGTCCACAAAAACGACAAGTATAAAGGGGGAATTAGGTGTCTTGATGTGTGTGTGTGTGTGTGGAAAACACTCTGGGACGTATCGAAAATAGCTGCCCTCCATATGAACTCAATCTGCTCATTAGGTGTGTGTGTGTGTGTGTGTGTGTGTATGCGTGTGCCTGTGTGTGTGGAGCTGCTCTCTGTCCGGTTCTCCTGTTTGATGATGTTGTGGCAGGTTTCCTCCTCTTGGAGAAGCAGGACATCTAGATCACATTCTGGAGGAACGGCACACACCTTCACACACACACACACACACACACACACACACACACACACACACACACGCACACAACGATTTGTGTTTTTTATAATATGCAAAAAACAAACATTAAATTATTATTATAATA